TCATATAATGTCGTTTGGAACCATATATGATCATTATTTGTTGTCATAAATGTTCGTGTTAGGCTTGAATTAATGAAATCGGTCCAAGTTGTAAACCGGTAAATTGGTCGTTTAAAGGGAAATTGGATGGTTTCACCCATCCAATTGGACTCCCGGAGGGTATTAGGGATCATGGTAAACATTTCGGCAATTTTTATTTTCGGGCGAAAAAAATAAAAAAAAATTCAAAATTGAAGGCTAATATCCACGTTTTTTGAGAAATTTTGGAGGTTTCGGGGCCCGGTGTAGAAAAATATTAATATTTTAGAGGATACATCTCTGGGTCATATAACGCCGTTTGGAACCATATATGATCATTATATGTTGTCATAAATGTTCGTAGTAGGCTTGAGTTAATGAAATTCGTGCAAGTTGTAAACCGGTAATTAAATTGGTCGTTTAAAGGCAAATTGGATGGTTCCACCAACCCAATTGGACTCCCGGAGGGTTTTAGGGACCATGGTAAACATTTTGGCAATTTTTATTTCCGTGCGAAAAAAAGTCAAAAAATTCCAAAATTGAAGACTAATATCCACACTTTTTGAGAAATTTTGGAGGTTTTAAGGCCCGATGTCGAAAAGTTTTGAAATTTTAAGGGATACATCTCGGGGTCATATAATACTGTTTGGAACCATATCTGATCATTATTTATTGTCATAAATGTTCGTGGTAGACTTGAGTAATGAAATCGGTGCAAGTTGTAAACCGCTAAAGTGGTCATTTAAAGGCAAATTGAGTGGTTCCACTCACCCAATGGGACTGCCGGACGGTATTAGGGACCATGGTAAACATTTCGGCAATTTTTATTTTTCGGCGAAAAAGGTCAAAAAATTCCAAAATTGAAGGCTAATATCCACGCTTTTTGAGAAACATTTGATATATGATCATTATATGTTGTCATAATATTCGTAGTAGGCTTAATTAATGAAATCTGTCAAGTTGTAAACCGGTAATTAAATTGGTCATTTAAAGGCAAATTGGATTGTTCCACAAACCCAATTGGACTACCAGAGGATTTTAGGGACCATGGTAACCGTTTCGGCAATTTTTATTTCCGTGCGAAAAAAGTCAAAAAATTCCAAAATTGAAGACTAATATCCACGCTTTTTGAGAAATTTTGGAGATTTCGAGCCCCGGTGTCGAAAAGTCTTGAAATTTTAGTGGATACATTTCGGGGTCATATAATGTTGTTTGGAACAATATATGATCATTTTTTATTGTCATAAATGTTCGTGGTAGGCTTGAGTTAATGAAATCGGTGCAAGTTGTAAGCCGGTATAGTGGTCTTTTAAAGGCAAATTGGATGGTTCCACCCACCCAATAGGACTTCCAAACGGTATTAGGGACCATGGTAAACATTTCGGCAATTTTTATTTTCCGGCGAAAAAGGTAAAAAAATTCCAAAATTGAAGGCTAATATCCACGCTTTTAGAGAAATTTTTGAGATTTCAGGGCCCGGTGTCGAAAAGTCTTGAAATTCTATGGGATACATCTCGAGGTCATATAATGCCGTTTGGAACCATATATGATCATTATTTGTTGTCATAAATGTTCGTGGTAGGCTTGAATTAATGAAATCGGTGCAAGTTGTAAACCGGTAAATTTGTTGTTTATAGGGAACATGGATGGTTCCACCCATCAATTGGACTCCCGGAGGATATTAGGGACCATGGTAAACATTTCAGCAATTTTTATTTCCAAGCGAAAAAAAAAAAAAAAAAAATCAAAATTGAAAGCTAATGGCCACGCTTTTTGAGAAATTTTGGAGGTTTCAAGGCCCGGTGTAGAAAAGTATTAATATTTTAAGGGATACATCTCTGGGTCATATAATGTCGTCTGGAACCATATATGATCATTATATGTTGTCATAAATGTTCGTAGTAGGCTTGAGTTAATGAAATCCGTGCAAGTTGTAAACCGGTAATTAAATTGGTCGTTTAAAGGCAAATTGGATGGTTCCACCAACCCAATTGGACTCCTAGAGGATTTTAGGGACCATGGTAAACATTTCGGCAATTTTCATTTCCGTGCGAAAAAAAAGTCAAAAAATTCCAAAATTGAAGACTAATATCCACGCTTTTTGAGAAATTTTGGAGGTTTAGAGGCCCGGTGTCGAAAAGTCTTGAAATTTTAGGGGATAAATCTCGGGGTCATATAATGTTGTTTGGAACCATATATGATCATTATTTATTGTCATAAATGTTCGTGGTAGGCTTGAGTTAATGAAATCGGTGCAAGTTGTAAAGCGGTAAAGTGTCGTTTAAAGGCAAATTGGGTGGTTTCACCCACCCAATGGGAATCACGGACAGTATTAGGGGCCATTGTAAACATTTCGGCAATTTTTATTTTCCGGCAAAAAATGTCAAAAAATTCCAAAATTGAAGGCTAATATCCACGCTTTTTGAGAAATTTTTGAGATTATTTCAGGGCCCGGTGTCGAAAAGTCTTGAAATTCTATGGTATACATCTCGAGGTCATATAATGCCGTTTGGAACCATATATGATCATTATTTTTGTCATAAATGTTCGTGGTAGGCTGTTAATGAAATAAGTGCAAGTTGTAAACCGATAAATTAACCGTTTAAATGCAAATTGAATGGTTCCACCCACCTTATTGGACTACCAGAGTGTATTAGGAACCATGGTAAAAATTTCGGCAATTTTTATTTTCTGGCGAAAAGGGAAAAAATTCCAAAATTGAAGGTTAATATCCATGCTTTTTAAGAAATTTTTGAGGTTTCGGGGCCTGGTGTCGAAAAGCTTTGAGATTTTAGGGGATACATTTCGGGCTCATATAATAACGTTTTAAACCATAAATGATCATTATATGTTTTCATAAATTTTCGTGGTAGGCTTGAGTTAATGAAATCGGTGTTATTTGTAAACCGGAAAATTTACCATTTAAAGGCAAATTTGATGGTTCCACCCACCTAATTGGACTCCCGGAGGGTATTTGGGAGCATGGTAAACATTTCGGCAAATTTTATATCCGGGAGAAAAAAATTCAAAAAATTCCAAAATTGAAGGCTAATATCCACGTTTTTTGAGAAATTTCGAACGTTTTTGGGCCCGGTGTCGAAAAACATTGAGATTTAAGGGGATACATCTCGGGGTCATATAATGCCGTCTGGATTCATATATGATCATTATATGTTGTCATAAATGTTCGTGGTAAGCTTGAGTTAATGAAATCGGCTCAAGTTGTAAACCAGTAAATTAGTCGTTTAAAGGAAAATTGGATGGGTCCACCCAGCCAGTTGGACTTCTGGAGGGTATTAGGGATCATGGTAAACATTTCAGCAATTTTCAATTTCCGGTGAAAAAAGTCAAAAAATTCCAAGATTAAAGGCTAATATCCACGCTTTTTGAGAAATTTCGGAGGTTTCGCGTAGAGCTGTCAATTCGGGTAAACAGGTCGGGTTCGGGTTGGAAAGAGTGGGTCGGGTCAACTCAGGTCGGGACAATTCGGATTAATTCCATAGCCTATGCGGGTCGGGTTTGGGTTGGGTCATGCTTGAGTCGGGTCACATCGGGTCATACTTCTTATCGGGTTTGGGTCGAGTTTAGGTCGGGTTAATAATAGATCAAGTTACATTTGGATCAGGTGAACAATAGGCCGGATTTAATTCGGTTTTTAACGGGTTTAAACGTGTTTGGGTAATTTTTGAGTTAGAGTCGGGTTTGGTTCAAGTCAATAATTTGCAGGTTAGAATCAGGTCGGGTCATTCTCGGGTTTGAGTCGGGTTCGGTTCAAGTCAATAATTTACGGATTATAATCAGGTCGGGTCATTTTCAAGTCGGGTCATTCTCGGGTTCGATTCAAGTTAATAATTTGAGGGTGATAATCAGGTTGGGTCACTTTCAAGTCGGGTCATTCTCGGAGTCAAGTCGGGTCATTTCCAAGCCAGGTCATATTCGGGTTCAACTAACTATAAATAGATAATTATCATTTTTATCAAGCTAATTATTTCCTTTAACTATAATATAAATGACAATATACTAGGGAGCTATAGTTTATAATTTAGGAAGATAATTATCTTCTTTAACCATACAACAATTATATATAATATTTCACTCTTAAATTTGCGGATGATGCTCCTTTCTTTTGCTGGCCTTGACCGACTTGATCTCCGTAGACAAAATGCTTTGATTAACAATAATAAGGTGGTCTGATTTGCATTTAAGGTGATTTGAAATCGTGTCAGGAACAATTTGGGTTGAATTTAGGTCGGGTCAATATATAACAAGTCATGTTGATTTTGAGTCGGGTTAGTAACAAATCGGGTTGAATTTTTGGGTCGGGTTAGTTCGGGTCGATTCACTAACAAGTCGGGTTGAATTTGGGTCAGGTCAATAACAAGTCGGGTTGATTTCGGATAGGGTTTGTAACACGTTGGGTTAAATTCGGGGCGGGTTAGAAACGAGTCGGGTTGAATTCAGGTCAAGTTAGTAACAAGTCGGGTTAAATTCGGGTTTTGACGGGTTAAAACGGGTTTGGGTCAATTTCGATTCAAGTCGGGTTCGGTTCAGGTCAATAATTTATGGGTTACATTCGAGTCGGGTCATCTTCAGGTCAGTTCATGTTCGGGTCTCACATACTCGGGTAACTTGGGTCTAGGGTTGGTTTCAGATCGGGTTTGGATCACCATTTTTCGGGTTCAAATGGGTCGGTTAATAATCGGGTTTGAGTCATTATTTCGGGTCGAGTCAACTTTTGACAGCTCTAAGCTAGGCTATGGAGGGACTAGACGCGGTAAAGCCACACCCCTAGCATCCTCCTCTAAAATACTTTGTATCGGTTGTTATTGATGGTCTGGTATACTCTGTTTTTTTAGTAGCTGGAATCTTCAGGAATTCTGTGTTGCTTAAGGTATCATGTTTTATGATCTTGGCTTTCAGATTTAATGCCGCATTAAGACTCGCTTTAGCTCGCCTGTAGTTGATTTTTGATACAATTGTTGTACCACAATGATCATAATCATTAAGTTCTGCACCCAACTACAAGTACTTGTTATACAAAATTCATTTTGTGACACTCTTGCTACCACAAATCAGCAAAGTACACAAAATCATCTCTAACTACTTGTTGAAAGCATCTGAGTGTACTTATATTTCAAGTAAGACTTGATGAATGGATCTAAATCACCATCCATTACTGAGGTGATATCAGAAGTCTCGTAACTTGTACGCACATCTTTCACAAGCTTGTAAGGGTGGAATACATAATTCCGTATTTGCTGGCCCCACTCTGCCTTCACAGCATCTCCCCTGATCTGCTTGATCTCAGACGCCCTTTGCTCCTCAGCAATGACTAAAAGTTTGGCTTTCAATCGATTCAGAGCCTTTACTTTGTTTTGGATTTGGGATCTCTCCTCTGAACATGGCTCCAATAGTATTAGTATTAAAAATTAATGGATTTTTCAAATAAAAGGATTGAGACTATTTTCTTTTTCTATCATTTGCAAGGATGTTTAAGTTGGATCTATTCTGGTTGCTACGGGATCAAGCCTACTTTTCTTTGCAAGTTAAAGAAATTACTACAAATAGCAAAAGGGTTATCTTGATTCGAACATGTAAAATAATTTGAGGGGCAGAATTTAACCTGAGCATCGAACCGCCACACCAGTGGGAATGTGAGTGATTCTAACAGCTGTTTCAACCTTGTTTACATTTTGACCTCCTTTTCCACCAGCTCTAGTGAAACTTATTTCCAAATCTTCTTCAGGTATATCAACATTTAATGACTCTTCTGGAAGAAGAGGCATGACTTCAACACCAGAAAAGCTAGTCTGCATGCAACATAAAAGTTCACTAATACAATTTTAAGTTTAATGCATGAAAAATTGTCAGCATTTTATGTAATGTTTACTCAGACAACACTCCAATTACATACGTTAACAGACTATGAAGTGGGAAGTAACAACTATTACTCCCTATTTGAGTATACTTTGCTCTCTATGGACTTTTGCAGTAAAAATTTGAACTTTCACCTTTGAGCCATCAAGTCCATATAAATGGTTTTAATTTAGGAGGTATTTGAACAAAATAGTCATTGCTAACATATAGCGTTGAGAAAGAAGTTCAATGTTTGACACTATGGACTCAAAGATCATTAAGTATCACAAACAATATGGGATGGAGAGAATATGATTATGTAATTAGTGTACTTAAATCTCCTCGAATGCAGAACAGACATGTGAAAAGAAAAGATAACCTGACGAAGACCCTTGGAATTAAAAGGTGACTGCCGCACTATACGATGCGTGCCCTTTTCTCCAGAAAGATAACCATAAGCATAACGACCGTCAACCTCAAGTGTTGCAGATTTAATCCCTGCTTCTTCTCCCAAAGATTTATCAACCACTCTAGCCTTATACTTCTGCTTCTCCGCCCATCTCATATACATCCTGAGAAGCATATCAGCCCAATCCTGCACTGAAATACATCAAAGAATTTACAAAAGACTGGAATACGAAAACCTGGACTAGCTTAACATTATAATCGACTGATCATTTTTGTTTGACAGAGGAGAAGGTCCAAGTGTAATAAGTTGACTGGTTTTGATTTACAAGCTCTGCATTCAAACACTTAGCTCATGTGCAGAAATAAGTAGAAGGAACAAGATGAATTACATGATTCACGAGCCGATTTAACATACTATAAAGCAATTCATCAATCAGTCATCTTTTATAGTAAGTATGTTACTGAACTTCCATACACTATACCAAGGGGAAAAAACAGACAAAATAGGGGGGGGGGGGAAGTGTAAAACCCAATATACGGAGAGAGAAAAATGTGTTGACAGTTAAAAGGATTAGCATACCTGAGCATCAGTCCCACCAGCACCAGCTGAGATAGTAATAACAGCACCCTCTTTGTCATAAGGACCAGAAAGAAGCTCTGTCAACTCAAAACGATCAAGTGCTTTGTTCAACTCCTTAATAATGCCGGCAGCTTCTTGAAGAAGTGCAGTATCAGTAGAATCCATCTCTTCAGTAAGATTAACTATCGTTTCTGCCTCTTCAACCTGCAGGAAATAAATGAAACCAATAAATCAGATAAAATCAGCAATACGTAAATAACATAACATGGTTGACATTTTGCATCTGTAGTATCAATGAGCCATGCAGTGTGATTCAACATCTATGTAATTTTTTTCCCGGTCAAATCATCTCCTCAGACAGAAGTGCCAGCATTAATTGGTTTGTTTTGCAGACTAATACATGTAAGATTCCCTTGGATATATTGTCTTTTAGTTTCATAAGATCAGGTTCGCTTTAGTACTGAATGGATCAGGGAGAGAGGGAGTCGAGACCTGCGTTTGGAAATCTTTGAGAAGTTTAAGTTTATCTTTGACATCAGTGAGAGCCGAAAGAGTTTCTTGGGCCTTAGCACGGTCATCCCACAAAGTGCTATCAGCTGATTTGGACTCCAATGCTGCAAGCTCTTTCTCCAAGTGTTGCAATCCAGCAGAGACTACAATCTCTTCCACACGTTTACTTGTATTTTCTACCTCTTTTCTTAATGTATAGAAATCTGCACGCAAAGCAAATTAAGACAATAAACCATTGATGTTATTGAGGCGTGATACCATTTCCTTAACTCTCCTCCATCCCTCATCTCTACTTCTCTTTCCATTTCCTTCCCTCTTTTCCTCTATGAATTATATTCACACAAAGCTTTACATAATACCACAATTTATCTAGTTTACTTGGAATCTAAACCAATAATGTGCAATTCCTACATAGAGTTAACACAAGAAAATTCCAACTAATACATTATGAGAATGAGAGTATCTTAATTATAATTATAACAATGCCCATGATCAATGACTCGATGTTCCAAGCCTTAAATCAAGGAACATGAAAAGTAAATCCAATGAATATAAGAGCTATAAACTAAATGATGGTATGTTCATTGGAGTTTATGTTCTTTTGTTTTAGTCTTCTTGTTCAACGTGCCATCGAAATCTACCAATGAGTCACAAGGCTCACAACAATCCCAAGCTTAAACTTATGATTCTATACTTGCATATTAAGCAATTGATCATAACATCAGATATATGTCACATACCTTGCATTGCCCACTCACTGGTTTCAGTGCCAACTTCAATGCTCAATGGACTATCTGGGGTTGCAAATTGAACTGCTCCCAAATTCAAACATACACACACAAAATAAACACATTTAGATAACATTATAACATCAAACAAAATAAAAGGCAGCAAATTTAGAGAATTAAGCAAAACCCCAACATAATTCAAACAATGAACAATCAAAATAACAGTCTGAATTATCATTACCGATATTTATTACCGCCTACCAAACGAGCCGTAAAAATTACTGCAACAGCAGTACATAGACAAAGCTTATGTGAAAAGGAAGCATCAACTAAAGAAATCAATACAAACCCACCAAAGCAATTCAATTTATAAACTCAATCAAATATAATAAAATACATAAACATACACAATTCAATTCATAGAGATAAAAAATATAGAAATAATTACCAAAAGAAGGAGGGAAGCGAGATGGCATAGAAAGGTATGAAGAAAAAGAGAAGGTGGGGTTTTGGGGAAGAGAGAGAAAATGAGGAGAGAGAAAGGGAGAAGGAGAATGAATAGAAAAGAGGGGCATTTTAATGGAGGTGGGTACTTTGAAATTTGTGCAGAAAATTTGCAGGGTTCCATCCATGGCACTCACCACTTCACCTAGGAAGAAAGAGAGGAGGAAGAAGAAGAGGGATAAATCATGGATAAGCTTTTTGTTGTGCTATTCTATTTTGTTTTTAAACGACAACGTTTGAGCTCATTTTTTACCAATTGTCAAATTTTTTTTTATGAAAAAATAAAAACTTTTTTACAAAGGTAAATCATCTTAACATTTTTTTTTTCTTTTTTCGATAGAGTTTCACATTTGACAATGTACGATTATACTAACTCTTAAAAAATAATAATCATTATATTTAATAAACTACAAATTAGATTTACCTTTCGGTATAAGTAAATAGCCCCATGAATTCGGATTTAGATTAATTAGACTAATTTTTTCCTAAAAATCTAGTGCGAGTACTATTTAATTTTGTGATTGTTCTACTTGATTCGCCTATCACAAGCACAAAAGCACCATACTATAGAAAAATATAGGATTATCTTCATAAAAAAAAATTAAAAATTAAAAAAAAAAAATCGCTTTTGCTAAGATCTAACATAGCTACATGTGTACCTATTGTTATGTACGAAGTATAAATCACAAATAGTAGTCAAATAAATTTGTGTAAATAGTGGGCAAATAAATTTAACTTCTGAGTATATACTACTACAAGTAACTTTTGTTTGGCCACAAAAAAAAAAAAAAAAAAAAAAAAAAAAAAAAAAAAAAAAAAAATCAAAACATAAATCAACTTCATTTCATTATTATAAAATATATGAGTTGTAGGTGGCTACTGGCTAATAGTTTTTCATGCAGCCTCACTACATACATGGGAACAAAATTATGTACATTCATGTACTCTTCCCTAGTTTGGATCACTATACATCAGAAAAGAAAAACAAAAAACCCATTTTAATTCCCTAAGCAAAACTGTAGAAGCTTACAAGTCTATAATGCTTTCTTTTAGGGACTTGAGAATAGCTTTACAGGCAATTTTTTTAGCCATCTTCTTATCAGAAGCAGTACATGTATGCTTGTGTACAATGCCATTTGCTTCAACCTCGAGTGTTATGGAAGCCACGCCGTTTTCACGAGTTCTAAACCTTCTCATAGCATAATGATGTGTTTGACATATATGGTTTAGCTCTCTCACAGGATTCAGCTTCAGAGTTTCTGGAGTGATGAGGGGATCCAAAAGAGGTGATATACTCTTGAATACAGCCTCTTTGTTGAATCCAGAATCGACAAAGATAGCCCCAGCTAAAGATTCTATTATATCTGCTAGAACCTGTATTATTCAACCAGAAATCACCAATGAGTAATTCAAAAAAAAGATAAGAAGGAATCCATCATAAAAGCAATTGTAACAGAAAAAAAAAAAAAAAAAGAAATCGACCACAGTAGCACTAGCACCCAAATGAAAATTATAAATCTTCTATAAAAGAATCAAACTAGGATTAGCTATGGGTTCAGAAAAAGAGTGTCAAATACAGGAACTAAAGACAAATACCCCTCTAATCTGCTGCTAGGCAATCATCCGAACTCTTGTTAAGATACGATTATGTGATTTGTAAATCAGTGAAACAGAAGCATGTAAAAGATATAGAAGTTTAATGACCATAGACAAGACATAAACTCGGCATTTCTTGCAACCCACCTTGGGATAATTTGTCTCAGACTCCCATCCGAATGTTGACTCTAAAGATAAATGCCGAAAACTTTCAACAGCAGCAGCCATCTGTTTGTATAGGATTTGCGAAGCATGAAGTATGTGCTTGTGAAGTCCAGCACGGATGGCAGATAGAGCATAACATTCGTTATTAACTGAGGCCGATCTTAGATCAGTCAACAGGCCAGGAGACATATCAGGATATTTAGAGTAAAGGTGAATTGTGATCAGATGATCCAACACCGCATCTCCCAGAAACTCCAAACGCTGCAAAAGAGAACATTTTCAGATAAACATGTCCTTTTCAAAACTGAAAAATAATTAAAAATTACTCCGTAATAAGTATAAGATGCTTAAAAGATCATAGTAAGGAACATCCACATTAGTCACCACCAGATAGTATGGTCCAAAAATTTCCAAAAACAAAGAGAGAAGAGTAATGCTTAGAAAGCACAGGTGTAAACTTACTTGATAGCATCGAGGAATTTCAGGTAACATATATGAACCATGGGTAAGTGCTTCAACTACCAGTGAGGGGTCCTTGAATGAGTAATTCAAAATGGACTCTACATGTGTAATGTTTACTAGCAAACGGGGATTTATAGGGATGTTCCTCTGGTATGTTATACAGGAAAGTTCCACCTCTATACCAAGCCAGTTCATAAACATCAAAGCAGCTACTTGTCCACCAGAGCTCAAAAATGCTCCAAGTAGTGCTTCTACAACATCAGCAACTCTCTTGCTTTTGATTTTCCGTATTCCACCATTGTAGACCTTATAGGTGTTACAAATTAACTCTTTCTTTAGTCTACAGTCTCCAGGATCACCGGGTATGATCCAATTCTTAGGATCAAAGGAATCATAACGTATAAAACCCTGCACGAATTAACTCGTATAAAAATTAAACCCCCAACATTCAGAAAGGAACTTGTGCATCATCAAGACATCAACCATCATTATCAAAGTAGCAAATATGGGAATATTATACAATTTATTAGGTAATGAAACAATTCTTACCGGAATCTTGCGTTGGCACCCTAGCTTGCACAGTGCAGCATTAGATATAATTCTATCTTTTTTTATACTAAGAAGTCCCTCATGATTACTTTGTTGAGTTTTAAACAGCTGTTGGCAGATAGCATACTTCAAAAACGAATCACCAAGGGTCTCAAGGGATTCCAGATGGAATCTCTCTTCGCAACGTTTAGTTGTAATTGCTTCTAGAACCTGTTAAAGCAAAAAATTGATAAATCAAGGGCACTCAGGACCAATAAAACAGTAAATAGAAAGATGGCACAATAAATATTTCGTCGCTGAGTGGAAATATAATCTGTTGAATAAGAAATGTGAAAGAACCTTGGTGGCTGGAATAAAAACATTTTGCATGCAGTGATCCAAGATAATGCCTCTCAAGTTGGCACTCAGTAGTAAAGCTTCAACTTGATGCATAATAGAAGGAAGAAATGAAAAGGTATAAATCGTAGCAACTGATATGGGCGACATGATGATGAGACATAATTCAGGAGGCAGTTCAACAGAAGCACCACTTGACTCTGCAACGGAAAGACACTATATCAGCCGAAAGCAGCAATTTAAAAAATTGAATGGCTTCCAAGAAGTCATCAAGTTTTTAGGGACAATAAATGGAAGAACTTCATGAAAACCACTAACTGAACAAAAGTTATTCTCAAAATTGTGATTCTTCAGAAAACTGAACTGTAATTTGACTAATCTTTGAATTTGGGATTTGAGCATAATATCAAAATTCAGAAAATAATTGCAGAATGCAGATAGATAACACACCCTTCTCCCTTCTCTGCTTGCACCTTAGAAGGTAATTCTTCAGCCGGAAAACCTGCCTCCCACAAAGCAAGGCTTGATTTTCATATTTCAGGTCAATCCCATGTCTGTATCATTATCATTAAACATGTTAACCATCTTACATGCATCCCATGATCCCAAAGAAACCAACTATAAGATGTTTAAAGACAAGAAAAAGATACATACCTCATTTTGTAGTAACTCTTGTAAGTTTTTAATGTACCATCACTCAAACTCAAATAAGAGTTCCCATTCATGCCATCTAAAATTCCAGAGATAGAATAGATGTAACCATTATGGGGTGTGCACACCAAACAATTTTCCAGAACACTACGATGTAAAAAGCCATTCTTGGTGTAGACATCATCTTGATGTGCACACTTGCGTTTATTGTAGTTAGAGAAGGAACCTTGAACAACATCGCGTAAAAAGGATGCAGAGCTTATACATTCCAAATCAACAAGTGAACTTCGATGAACCCATTGTCTGGGGAGAAGAATATAGTCATAATGTGAAACAGGCACATTAACATTTTTCTCCCATTTATAGAACCCCTTCAACGATTCCACTAGCTTATCAAAACTACGATCTCTTAGAACTCTCAATAAAGCAGCCTGATATTGTCTGCAAAGAGTTACCTGGCCACATAAGTAATGGAGACTTAGCTTAAGTAAACAGACGGATGTGTTTTTTATATTTCAACATCAATTAGAAGAATAGAACTTTTACCTGTTCATCACTGAGATTGATCATTCCTGCGTATTTTATGTCCACTGACATTTTCCCCCAGTCAACCTCCATGTCAAATTGCATGTTTCCAACATCGGAAGCAAGCTTAGATTTAAAAACCACAATTATGTCATGCACAGGAATGTCAGAATAGAAGTCCTGCTTCAATTCCATTGAATAGCTGTGGTATGTCAATGTGTCTAAACAACGTGGTCCATCACCGACAATTTCTGGTGGAATGTATCTTGCTTGGTCCTCGTCATATAGTTCACGCTCTATATCACAAAAGCACACATAAAATCATGATGCCAAGCCCATCAAGGGGCAAAAAATAAAAGGAGATCCGCCAGCCAAACTCACTCACATGCAAAAAACCATGGGTGCAAAGTACAGCAATACATACCAGTATCTTTCATTAGACCCTCTTCTACAACAATATCAGGAACAAGTGAATCTGTCAAAGCACCCTTCTCATGCAGCAACTTGCATGCTTCCAGGCAAGCAAGTTTCTTCAAAACTTTGACATTGCCTTTCACAGTAACTGACTGTACTGGACAACTATTTGGAAATTGTAGTGTACAGGTCTCCAAAGCCTCATCAATGGTGCAGCGAGGAGCAGGTTTAAAGTATCTGAGTAAGCAAAATGCTAATGGTTCAACATGTATGAAACCAAACACATGCGGAAAAGTCAAATAAATCAGAACAGATTGCAAAGTTTCATGAAACAAACCCATCGGAAGGGAGACGTGAGCAGTAAAAGTATATCAAGCTCACACTAGAACTCAGTGTAACAACTGCTCCTGTGCTCGGTACACGATAGGAGATCCCATCAAATTCATCGAATTCTACAGGTTGACAAGGAAGCGAAGCATGGCTCAAACTCTCCTTGCGCATCACATCACCAGAGGAAAGATAGTTTTTCATGCGCGATAGCTCATCTTGATCACCACTGTTTTACATCAAAAAATTACAATTTACAATGAATCTTGCTTGCATAAATCTCATTGTACAGTAAAAAAATCATCCTATTCAGTAAATGCTAATTCAATCTATATCAGGGACTTAAAACTGAATAGAAACAGCAGGTTTGTAAATTAGTATCCACTTATTAATGCCCAGTAAATCAGTAAAGCTGCACGACTGCAATAATAATTCAAATTCCCTTTACCCACAAAGTTTTCTTTCTTATTTCCCCCGTCCCTTTCTTTTAAATTTTTTTTTTTCTTTTTTGTGATGGGAATGAGAGGGAAAGGAGGTTAGTTTTTATGGTCTCTGGTTAGGGAGTAAAAACATGTTATATACTATCACAAAGATTGAAAAATTACCTTTTCACCATCAGCAAGAAATCAGAATTTTGCATCCTAGCGCGACCTCTAGACTGAATGAAACTGCAAATGTTGGCTGACGGATCAAAACGGACAACCAAGTTGCAACTTTGGACATCTAAACCTTCTTCTAGGATGGAGGTAGCAACAAGAATGTTCACCTGAATATTAGCAAAAACCAAATAAACTCAAAATCAATATCGTATATGTAGAACAAAGTACAGAGGATGTAAGTAAAAAAAAAAAGGGTAATACAAAAGAGAAAGAAACCCACAGCCCCTCGGCGAAATTCATCAACAAGATTGTTCTGCTCATTCCTGCTTTGGGACTTTAGTGCAGACTGATTTCCAGCAATGTATCTTGCCTTCCAGCCACTTGTTTGAGAAAGTAGTCGATCCAATATAGCCTCAAAAACCATTGCAGTAACTACCCTTTCGACAAAAATTATACACCTCAAATCTCTCAAACTCCTATCATACAAAAACCGAATTCATAATGTTAGCTAACAGCTGGGTAAAAAGTATGATCAGTCATTTAAATCAGAGATTAACTAATACAGAACCAGGTAAACAGAACAGGTTTACTCTCTCCATAAGGAATAGACTTGTCATTGAACAAGCAATCAATTATTTGCATGTTTCATAACAAATAAAATAAAATTCCGGCAAGAATATAAACAAATTTGGCTCAGTATAGAGCATGAGTTATGATCAATCACTAAAAGCTAAGCGAGAAGTTAATATACTCAGCAACTAATTAATAAAAACCAATAAAAATCCAGTTATATGATTTCAGCAGAAGATATTACAGAAAGTAAGTAGATTATTTTTAAAAGAGCTCTGAATTAACCATGGGAAAAAGAACAGCAACTACATAAAATTTTGTCAGATAAATTGAGAGGGAACAACCGAACAAGCATAAAATAAGAATTCATGTACAAGGTTAACAAAAAAGGGTAAAGTTTGTTGAAATCTCAATAATGACTCTTTCTAGTGCTTAACAATAGTTCCTATTGCACCATTTTGCTCGATAATCCTTGTAATAATACTTCAAGTTCTCTGCCTTGATGACAATTCTGTCAGAACTCAGAAGAGAACTCGGTACTTTTGGAAAAAAGAAAGTTGATGGAATTCAGTTTCTAGATGCAACATCAGGTGGATGGTGGGCCAGTTCCCAAAGTGTAATCCTATTCCATAAAAGTCCCTGAACCTTTTTAACCTTTACATTCAGGTACCAAAATATGAAGTATATCACAACAGTTTCCAGTCTTGCCACCCAAAAAAAAGAGGGGGGGGGGGGGGGGGGGGGATCAGAATGGTAGAGATAATTCCAAAAACTAAAATTTTGTCTTCCAAATGACTACATTACTTATATTACGAAATCGCAAAGTCTCACCTATACCGAAGGAGAGATTCCACTAGACACAATAATTTTGAAGATATAATTCTGGAATCCAAATTTGCCTTTATATCAGAGATTGACCAATTGCAGCCTAAACGTAAAAGAATAGCCGATGAATAATGCATTAAAGATATAGACCAAAATCAAAATGAAAATATTATATACTCCGTATATACATAGTGAAGCAGCATGTTAAAAAAATTGGTGCTTGTTTGAATAAAAAAGAAAATTAAACATAAATACCTCCAGATGGGTTGTGGAGTGCTAAAATATTATGCACATCAGAATTAAATGCTTTTATAGTCGTCTCACCGCGAACATCCAATTCACCCCAGCTGAAAATGTCGGTTTCATTGCAAGACACAATTTCTCCGGCCTAATATCAAAGGATATATTCAGATGCCTTAACAGTTACCAGCATCTCCAAAAGACATAGAATGCAAAGTTATGCTATACCTTTATTGCTGCCCAAAGACCAAGCTCATCCAAACAGAAACGGAAAGTATTGGTCAGCTTCTTTAATTTGTTACATATAGATAATTCTGTCGATGCTTCAGCACCCAACTTTCTAACAGCAGATATGTGCTGAAGGTGAATATGGCATTAGTATTATTCAATGACTAAAAAAAGAAAAAGAAACTACAAAGAAGTAAACAATAAAGTTCAATAGTTCATTAGTCATGCATTAAAATCAGGTATACATCAAATAGTACATATTCCTAATAATAAACCAAATTCAAAACTCATCTGATGACTAGAAGATAGAAAAATAACAATAAATAAATAAAATGACACCTTTTCTCTCAGCGAGTTCAAGCCATTGATCAGATTTGTTTGCAATGCATTTGGACCATCCTCATTATAAAACTGAGCCTTAGCATTTGGGATAGGAACATACTCAGCCAAGTCTGCCTCGCTATTACTGGTATAGACCTTCATTTTAGCGATAACATTCATCAAATATGATAAGATAAAATGAAATGGAATGGGGAATGGACAAAAAGCTGCTGCCTCCAAAGCTAAACAGCAAGGTAAATAATTATAACTAAGCAGTAACCTTAGAATGCATGAGGTTTTCCAGGGCACTAATATCTTTCCAGTAACCATTTGAGTCAGACGCGCCTACAAGCAGGAACGAATCAAATTAAAAGTCTCCAGAACAAGCATGCTCAATGTAACAGTAAAAAGTACAACTTGTCCTAAACTATACTTCGTATGTACAAACTAATCCTACAGTTCACCTTTAGCTTTCGCTTTGATTGGAGAAGCAGTCATGCCAAAAATTCTGGGGACGTCATTAGTATGCATTTGTTGATGATAGAAGTCCTGCAGTATAAGAGGTTCCATCATTTTATCTATATTGCATGCCTCGTACAAAATAAAGTGAATTTCCCATGAACAATAAGATATACACCCCCCAAAGAACAAGTGATCCATTACTACGGGAAGGAAAAAATAACCTTAGATCCAACATTAACTACAATCCATTATATCAGGTGCAAATGTACAATATCATTGGGGTAATAAAAGAGCACTGTAACAAATTGCTAAATTATGCGCCACTCGAAATAATATTCTAGAGCTAATTCATCCTTTTCATTATGCACACAGTTGGTTTATAAACATTTCAATTACAGCTAAAGAGCTAATAGCTCATTAATCGATAAATTTAGAGGTCTACATAGGTCCCCCATTAGTCCATTACAGAACGAAAACATAAGGTACAGCAAGTGATAAAGGAGAAAGAAACATCCAGAAGCACATTTAAGAGTTGAAAGCAACACAGAAACTTCTGTAATAATTAATGGATGGACATGCATAATCACCTTCATGATGCGAGCATAGGGATGATTTCCCCTGGCATTATGGCATTCATCAAATATTAAAACTTTTATCTTGTCCAATTTGATGTAAGTATGACTCAAAGCATCAAGCAAGATCTTTGGTGTCATCACAAGAACCTACAACACAAAAGACAATCTAATAATTCATCCCAATATGATATCAGGTGAAGCTAAAGTACAACTCCAAAGTAAACATATATATAACACCGCTTTCCCTCCTCTTAAGCAATGCCAACTGCCAAGTCTTACTCAAATTAATGTACTACGTATTTTCTCATCCCCTTTCCTACAAATGAAGAAGTAAAGCTTATTTGATCCTTAACTGAAAAAGGTACAAGTGACTCACCTCATATTCATCCAGCTGTTTCTGCCAAATAGCAGCATCCCAAAAATCAACACCCATGTCTCCCCAATACTTGCCAACTTTTAAGTCCGTATGCAGCTCAATAACTTCGGCTTGCTAATCATAGTGACAGGAAAGAGAACCATTGAAACATAACACTGATCAACTTGAGACATACTTATACAGACCACTAAAACTAGTTTCTTCCAATCAGTTTAAGTCATTGTACTTGTGTAGATACATATTTTTTTAAAAAAAAAATAAATAATAAACCATACTTGTTTAACCAAAACAACAGTAGGTACTAAGAAGACTGCAATATTGGACTGTGTAGGCCGGCGAAGGAAATATGCATAACTACGAAGAAGCATGACCGCAATCAATGTCTTCCCTGAACCGGTCTCCAAGTACACAATAGTATTCTGCTTCATGGCTTTCTCCAAAGCATCAAGCTGGTAGCTATAATTATAAACAGTTGAAGTTCAAAGTCACAATTACTAAGAAAGCCAAAAATTATAAATATAACATATAAAACATTACAAAAAAACAAAATCAGCACACAAGCAACCTAAGCATATCAAAAACTGACCCAACACGAAAACCTGACCCCAAAATCCTCAATAATCTAATCTAGAACTAGGCTTATTACCGAAGTCGAAAAAAAACTAGATAATCAGTATCCGAAACCGACCCGGCCCGAACACAAATTTGCACAACCCTATTCAATAGGGCTACTAACACCAATCTCAATGGAAGTTTTCAAGGAAATACCCCCAATAACAACATCATCAACCAAAAATCATCACACACATACAATATAAATGTATATATGCTGAAAACAGCAAACATAGAGAAAATTGCATTAAATTCACAACAACAACAGCAACAATAATTGAATTGAAGAGATGTAAACTACCTTCTTGCAAATGAAAGAGCGGCAGACGAGTCATCTTGGGTCCCACAAATCTCCATACTCACTGCTCCCATTGTCTGCCCTCCTCCTTCTTCTTCTTCCCTTTACCCTGAAAATAAAAAAATCAATCTTTCCACAAATTTTTTAACCAAAATCACAGATTTATTTCAGAATGTCGAAAAACAGGGATATGAACAATTTTTATTTTATTTTTTGACCCCTCTATGATCAAACTACCAATAAATATTCATGATCTATGCATTACTTGGAAAATTTAAAAAATTCGCAATTACCCAGAAGATAAAATTACCAATTAAATTACAAAATGCATGAATGTAACACAAAAAACTAAGAAAATTTTTAATGGGTTTTTTTTTTTTTCAATGGATAAATAAATAATGCTAAGATTTAGCAAAATACTAACCGTTTACACAAATTCAAATTCTGGGTATTCTTCAACTTCTGCACTCGGAAATCATCAACATTAAATTGAATGATGAAACAGAATTTAAAAATCTGACTCTTTTGATTCTTGTTTTGGTACTACTAGTATTGGAATGAAATTGAAGAAGTAGTACACATTTAAAAAGGGGAGAGTGTGGTGTGACAAAGGCTAGCTGAGTCAACTCGGCCTTAGTGTAGTCTTCGCAAGTACACTTTATTAATAGGATTATTAATTAAGGAATAAGTGATTCAAAAAAATATATTAAAGAATAATAATGAACTTACTTTTAAGATATCAGAAGACAAAGAAAGTTAGTAAGAAACTCTTAAAGATGGAACTACAAATGTAAACAAGAAAAAAAAAAAAAAACACTAGTAGGGCATTTATTGGTTATGTTTAATTAAATTGAGGGTTTTTGTTTAAACTTAAACTATCTTGAGTTATTAATTGGTCAAATATTAAACTCCTATGTACTTATACAATTTCTTGGATGTGTTGATTCATACTTCTTGTTTTGGTTTAATTTCTAGCAATACATGTATACATTGTTAATTTTATCTCTTAATATCACAAATGATGCGTATAAATCTTGAACGATTGATTTGGATATAATTGAATGAAATCCAAACTGCTACGGTATCCCTTGTATTATTAACAATCCGCAAAGATTTAATCCAAGTAATTTTCCAGATCATACAGTGCCCACTTGATCTTCATCATGTCTAGAGGTGATCAAGATGATCCCAATCTGATCTTCAGTGGGACGTGGACATAAATATCGGCCCAAAATTGGGCCTAGCCCGATCCAAAATTAGAAGTTATGTTGGCGGAACATGACATACATTCTAATAAGTTATTAAGTTGCATAAGGAAGTTAAATTAGTCATACTTATTCAATAGATCAAATTTTCGGCCAGGTCAAGCATTAACATAATATCACGTGTGCAACCCGCAAAAAAAGTAACATGTTTTTTAGGCCAAAATCTAGTTTTTTCCCATAAAAAATGTGCTTTAAGGCTTGCCCTAACCGCCTTATTTTCGATTCGGACAAATGTGTAATCACCTTTACTATGCGATTATACGTAAATATGAAAAAGGTCATATGATGTTGTTTTAAAATACGATTAACTAAGATTGCAATCTATACATAGTACTCAGTATTATAAAGGAAGAATCAATATTGTGAATGTTAATTAATTTGGTATTTTGGTTAATTAAATTCTAAAATATGGTATAGTTAATTTACAATAGTAAAACATGTAGAATGATTGAATCTCGTTTATATTCTTTCTCGTTAATAACTTTCTCTGCATAGTATGAACAAACAAAATACAGAGTATAGAATAAATTCTCACCAATACATTTTGTACAAGTAATACTATTAAATACGGAGCAATGTAATTTATCAATCAAGAAATAGAAGTTCGATTTTTATTCAAAGAATGATTAAATTGTACGAGGAATAAAGTGACGGATGCTAAAATATTAGCAGTGTAAATTGTACAAGTAGCAATTTGCTTAGTGATGAAGGAAATGGGAATAACAATTTGAATTTTGAAGAATGACACTTTATGATAATTGGACCAACAAAAGCTTGTGGAATTCAAGCTTTTCTGTCATTACTTTAATGTACTATCACATTCACTCGCCTTACTTCGCAATTTTGCTGTTTTGCATTTTGCAGTTTAGCTAGGTGCTTGGGTCCCAACTCATATATTTCCAAGTTTAAAGATTCCAAGAGTTTCAACTTATAACAATGACTTATTATAGACTAATGAAAATAACTTACAACTCCCAATCTCTACTTAATTCTCTCTTACTTCATTGTGAGGAATCAAGCAAACCTCCGCATGATTATAAACGTTATATTGTCCTACACGGCTCGACAAACGTAATTACGAGTACTTAATTAGAATACCCAAGCGGAAGAGAAAAGGTCACAATTTTAAAATTGTTCAATCTCTTGAAGGGTAACAATCACCTTCCTTATCTAATTGAGTTTTAGTAGCTAGGTAGTAGATATAATACCTCGTATTTTTAAACCCATTTAATTATATACTAATCATATTTATTAATTTAATTACGTATGATTTCTTCCCAGAGTATTTTAAATAACATTTAAATATACTTTTAGATAACACAATAACATTATTTAACTTGTCATTATATAATTTTACGGAAATAATCATTAAATTTATAAAATATTTTTATTTATACGTATGAATTCCGGAAATATAATACTCGAAAATCATATTTTTTCTACTTTGAGTATTTCTTTACTCCAAGTCAAAAGACTTAAGTCCATTTTTTACTCATAAAGCATGACCAAAGTCATAAACTTCCTCGACAAGCTTGAATTCTTGACCCCCAAGTTGTTGACATCATGATGTCAATAGTGTTCTCAAACTCTATAAATAGAACCCAAAGTTTAGCCATTTTAAGCCAAAAGTCTCTTGATCTCAAAGCTCCATCTTCCTTTTCTTTTTTCTTTTTTCTTATGCCTCTCATTTTCGTATTAGTTCGGCCCGTATATGTTCCAAGCCATTTTTTTTACCATTTTTGATCATTTTTAGCATTTTGCTGTTTGAGACAAAGTCGTTCCTCTCAAAAAGTCATTGAGATTAGGCTCAAGAATCACCCAATTCGAATGATGATTATTCGAATCAAAAAGTTCAAATCTCTTTGTATGCATTTTTAATTAAGATCACTGGATGTGGCATGACCAAAAAGGTTGTTGAATGATGATGTGGTGCTATACCTATGTAAGAAGGGATACACGTGTCACATGTACCATTTTATAAACGTAACTGCAAGACTCTGTTTTGAAAAGTCTTACATAATCACGCCGCGATAATATCCCTAAGTTACTTTCTAAATCCTGTTTTATAATAATTAATATTGGAGAGTAATTTGGGGGTGGTATAGTATATTACAAATCCATACTTAGTTTCAATGTAAGAATGAAACAAGCCAACTACCCTTTCCTTTTAATTAGTTGGATTATTTTTAAAATTAAATCATTTGAAATGGATCAAACTAGACTTTGGGCTTGTTCACATTTACTGAACTGAACTGAACCGAGCTGAATATTTTATGAGAGAGGGAAATTAAGAGCTAAACTAAACTGATTGGAGCTGAACAGAACTGAAGTGATTGGAGTTGAACTGAACTGGAATTAAGTAAATGTGAGTAGGCCCTTTGTGTGTTACTGTTTTGATATATGATGAGTGGAACGATTCAATCTAATATTTTAAATTGAAATCAAAAGGTAAAGTTTAACTAAATTTGTGAATTAAAATGAGTCTTAAATTTATACATTACCAATTATATAATACTAATGGTTATATTACATAACCAAAGCCCAATACCAAAACGTTTAGCTCAACAATACAATTGGACAAGAACAAAGACCAATTTGGTCCAAATCAAAAAACCCAAAACATAAAACCCAATAAAATAAACCAGGAAATTAAAAAAAATAATAGGGACAAAATCGGAAACAACCAAACTTAAAACTAGGGTTTTTCACAGTCACAACTCACAAACCCTACATATACTTCTCATCCGCCGGAAAAGCAGAGGAGAGAGAATTCTTCATCAGCTCTAGCGGATTCCTGGGTTTTTCGAGCTGAGCAAAAATGGTATAATTTCTCATTTTTTCTATTTATTTTTTATTATGCTGTTCTTTTAGATCTGTTAGAACTGATGAATTGTTTTTTATTTCATTAAAATTTATCTGATTGTTTGTTTATAGATAATGGGTGTTGATTATAAGCGAAATTTGGGCATTTACTTGTTTAATTCATACATTTGTGAAATGATTTATTGTAAATTAGAGCTTGATAGTGTTATTGATGCTGTATTTCATGGGAAATTCACAACAATTAAGCTGATTTTTGCTACTTATTATTGAAATATACTTCGTGAATAATTTTGTAAATTTGTTCTGGGCTTTTTTTGGGTGAATATGGTTGAGCAATTTTTCAGCATTCATTGATATTAATTTAGCATGATCATAAAATTTGTGCAAATTACTGCGTCAGATCGAGTAGTTTTCTTCTTAAATTAAAAGGTAGTTTTTTTGGGCTTTGATAGTAATGAATCTTATTGGGAAAAAGGTGGTTAGCTTGTACTGATGCAATGAGCTTATTGATGAGTAGCATTGGTTTTATCTAAAATAGTTGAACCGATTCAAAACTTAATTTAGAGTGTTGGTGTTTGATGTTAAGATTAGAAATGAGATTTTTATTTTAGTATATTGATTAAAATCATGGTGCTCTTAGTTTAGCTTGATGAAATGTAATGCGTCGAAATACTGATTACTAGCGTTTAACTTTATAATGGGCGTTATGTATGAGCCGATGCGAAATTGAGCTCCATGTTTGAATTTGTTAGGGAGAGGTTGTATACTCTTTCCTTTTCTCATTCAGGGATACATTTGTCAATTAATCATTTCTTCACTTGTTTGTGATTGGTTTACGTATTATGTTACTATGGAAAAATTTGATTTTTTGATGTAGGGTAAAATTTGGGTGCTGTTGATTGAGTTTGATGTATTGCAATGCGTCAAAATACTGATTACTAGCGTTTAACCTTATTAATGGGCGTTATGTATGAGCTGATGCAAAATTGAACTCTGTGTTTGAATTGGTTAGGGAAGAGGCTGTGTACTCTTTTCCTTTTCTCATCCAGGGATACATTAGAACTCATTGCTTCCGTTGGGGAGTAACACTTGGCTTGCTTTTCAGACTAATGGGAGGTTTAACTAGTTTTACAAAGATTAGAGATTTGATTACTTTTGTTGATTCAAATTTTGATGCTGAGAATTGTTTTATAAATGGGATGTAACACAATCCGCTTATTGCGTCAAAACACTGATTACTAGCGCTACAGCTTAATGGGCGTTATGTATGAGCTGACGCAAAATCAAACTCCACGTTTGGATTCTTTTCAGGGAAGAGTATTGGTCACTCTCTCTATTTCTTCAATCGAGGATATATTTATCACTTGTTTTCCGCCACTACAATTATTTTAACTTATTCAGTTTGTTCCTTGTTGTGTAAACTCACCATGCAATAATGATTGTCCTTTGGCTGTGCATTTGTGAAATGCTGTTACAAGTATTCTTAATTTCTAAGTCTGCATTGGCTTCTAGCTGTAATAAGCATGTTTTCATGTCAATTCAGTTTGAGGGTTTATACAACTGCAAGTGATGTTAATGTTTAATCTTTGTTTGATAGCCGAAGCAGATCCATGAGATCAAGGACTTCCTTCTCACTGCCAGAAGGAAGGATGCACGTTCTGTC